GCTCTCCGAGGACGCTTCGGGTGACCAGGGCCTCCAAGGTCGCAGAACCCTGCGCCCACGGGTCGTGCGGTGAGGAGGTCTCCTGGGCGCCGAGGCCTCGAGTTCTAGCCGCAGCCCGTGGTGCCTCCAAGGCAGGGCGTCCTGGGCCGGCCAGGGACGCGAGCGCACCTCGGGCCACCCCACCAAGCCCAGAGGAGGGTCCTGGTCCTGGGCAACCCGCAGGGGGGGGGGGCGAGGGTGCGGCCGCGCTCGGCGCGGCCCGGGTGCGGAGGGCGGTCCCTCTCCAAGGGGGGGGGGGCCCAGGCGCGGCGTTTGGGGCGCGGGGAGAGGCGGCCGCACTTCGCATGCAGAGCGGCTGCGGCGCACGAGGTCGCGCGCCCACTGGCCGGCAATGGGCGGGGGAGCGAGGCGGCGGGGGGGGGGGCGGGGGGGCGGGGGCGGGGCGAGGGGCGGAGGGAGTCAGGCGATCGCAAACATGGATCAAGGGGACGTGGATTGGCGACGGGTCTCGCTTCCATGGGGCATCGCGGATTTCCGCCGCCGAACGAGGCGGCACCGGCCGCATTCTGGGGAGGGCTCCCCCGATCCATGGATTTGGCGACCGCGCGCCAAATCCATGGATCGCTAAGCCATGTTTGCGCGCCCCCGAGGGAGGCTTCGGACGACGAGGGGGGAGTGCGTGGAAGGGACGGAGGGGGGGGGAAGAGAGAGAGGGAGGGCGCGAAGGACGGAGGGAGCGGGTTGGAGAGCGAGGCGGGAGGTGCCCGCGCAGACGTCTGGCCGGATGGTGAGAGATGATCCGCTTTGGCCCATGGCCGATCCTCTCAACCCCGATTCCGCGACGACAGTTGGACCCCCAACGCCCATCGATCTGGATTGGTAGGTGTTCAACGGCGTGGGTTCGCCTCGCTTGCGCTCGCCCGCGGACTCTGAAACCCCACCAGTGCTCTGCCACCCCCTAGAGTTGGACAGGAAGAGGTAAGGGGTCAGGTTCACATGTGGATGTCTATCGATACCCGTTGCGTGAATGTGACTCGCTGCGTGGTGATTGGTGAGAATTGCGGCGGAGGGGATACAACGGTCTCGAAGTTACCATTGCCCAAGTCCAGCATTGC